GCCATTTATTATTCATGAAAATTTCTGTGAATAGCAGTATGTAAAAGCACTTATTTTATTTAAAAAAATAAAGTCATCTATTTTTAAAATAATTTATTGTTCCAGGGCAAAAGTCTAATTTCAAGGTGTTTTCATAATTTTGAGATTGAACAGTTATTCTTTTGCCTAATAGCCATTTTAACTCATTTTCTAAAATTTGTATTTAATCCTCTGAGAATACTATTTTGGGTGGGGAATACTTTGATATGTTTTTCTTTAAGTTTTCAATTAGTTTCTTCCATTATTTTAAAACAATTATTCTAATAACATCACAAGCATAAGGAAAAATAAAAACACTCATCTGAAATTTCAATACCCAAAGATAACTACTGCTACATTTGACCCATAATAATCCAGAAGTATGTGTGTATAAAACATGACTGTATAAATAGATAATTCAGATGTAGATGGATATAAACATTAGATTGAATAATTTGAAATTACTGGTATTTAATTATTGTTGACCTATTAAAATGACCATTTGACATAATTCACTCTAATATATAGATACAAATTTATCCAATATTAAAATAAGATTATTTTATAGTTGTTTCTCACAATTAATAAAAAATTATCACAAGGATTTTTCTAGCAAGCTACTATATATCTTCATTGATTTTTCTTCCCCCTTTAGGAAGTTTCAATGTCTTGATGTGATAAAGGATACTTGCAATGAATATCCTTATACATACATCTTTCATGTTTCCTTTTTTGTTTTCCTATGGAATAAGATGCTTGAAATGGGAATTCTGGGTCAAAAGGCAACATGTGATGGTGAAAGAGAGGATCTTTAAAAAATCTGGCATACAACTAACTTGCTTTTAATAAAGAATATATACTGGTATTTCCAAAGCTGTAGCTGATAATTTACTTTTTGCTATATCCACCAAAGTGGGTGTTCTTTTTCTTGCTCTATAAACTAAGAAATATTGATTTCTTCTTAATCTGAATTTATGTAATTAATAATGGCATTAATGGTGTTAATATTTCTTGGTGAGTTGTATTTTTTGGCTTTCTGAGTTGCTCTGTATCCAGGCAGAAGATGCATTCTATTCCCATACTGCATAAGTCAAGAAATAAACAAAAGAAACACAGTTTTAATGTAACCGTAGTGTTAACATAAATTGGTGCCTATTTGCTTAAGACAAGGAAACTTCTGTGGGTTGAGAAAAGTAAGTCCCTCACCTATGGTTTGGGACACCAAACTAGTCACTATGATGAATGCTGATTTCTTTATTGAAGGACCCAGGGTATTTGTGAAAACGCAGTGAACTATACCAATCCTTTTTGAAAACTTGAAAGTAGAGAGACATTGGTATTTGGTTCAGCATGACCTCAAAAATTACTGTGTGTGCAGAAAAGGAGAAGAAAATACCAGAAATCAGATTACCAGAAGAGGGGATTTCAGGCTGGTGAATTAGGCTCAACAGAAGTGCCTGGTACTTTTTTTTTTTTTTTTTTTTCAGCGTTGGGGAGGGATGGATGGGTGGTTTCTGCATGATAGGTACCTAACGTAGGCAGCTTTTCTAGACCCAATAACAATGGTTCAGGAGGTTGTGCTTTTCAGTAGGTTGTGCTGATAATATAATTAAGAAAAAAAGAGAGAGAGTGAAAGCTAAAATGAATTGGACTTTTGTGCATGGATCAGCAATATGAACTGCACAAAAAAAAGTGTAAGCATGCAATTCTAGCCCCTGTAGACAAGTCATTTGTTGAGTTGAGCAGGACCAGTCATCTATAATGACACTTTATACCAGTGAGAAGCAGAGAAAGTTGGCCACACAGGATTATAGCTTTCTTCATTTTACGTTTGGAATTAGTCCTGAAACCTTTTGATTAAATCCCATGGAACTTTAAGACATTTTTTCCTGTATTTCTTCCCCCACTCGCCCCCCACTATTTAGTAGTGGGAGAATAGTCCTTAAGGAGAAATAATTTGAAGCTTAGACTATGAATTGTAAAATAAAAGGAAAGTAACCGTATTTGTACTTGGAATTGGTGAAACAGATTATCTGCTTTATGCATGTTTTATCACTTAAGTTCTCTGTCTTTTAAAGTTGTGATAATCATTTTTTGCCTACAGATACACAGACCTTCTTCTACATTAACAAGTTTAAATTTTTACTTATTTAAAGTGAAATCATGTTTTCTAATTTGGTGCTTTTTTTAATGCTCTTATTGTTATTAGTTTTTTTTTTTTTGACATAGAGAATATTTAACAATATTCATGCACATCTCTTGGTCTTTTTTTATCTGGTTTCTGTCTTTGATATCATGATTAGTTAGTCCTACCCCCTTCGCCCACGATATTATATGAACAATTATTTCCTCTTTGTCACTTGAAATGCCTGTGTTTACACTGCTATCATTAATGCATCTGAAACATATTTTAGGGTACTTGGGGGAAAAAGTAAGATTGGTTCCTATTATGCACAATATGCCTCACCCTTTAATTACTGAATTGGACGCACTGAAGACTTTAGAAAGCCATTGAGAATGATAAGCTTGAAATATACCTAAAGAAATGAGCAATTAGGAATAGTTAGAATTAATATTACTGGGCCTACATTTACCTTATTAACTGAAAATTGGATTCAAGTTAGATCCCAGTTCAGAACACTTTATCTTTGTAAACCTGAAAGTAAAAGGACATGGTCAGATGCTCATAGAAGCTGTTTCTCAGTGAGGGATTTTTGGGTGTTCTTCAAATTTGTCTCTGCTTTCAAGACTTTCTGTAAAGAATATATATATATATATTGAATCAGAACTCCTTTCTCAATGCCTTACTGAGAATAAAGAATATCACTCTTAAAAAGTGCTGAAAAGTAAAGGAAAGGGTAAGATAAAGACAAGCATTTTCATAAGTTATAGAAACAAAGAGCCAGGCAGAATCTCTGGTGATGTTCAAGTGAGTCAGGGTGCACCCAGGCACACAGAAGTGGGGGGACCGTGGAAGCTATTTTCCGGGCAGAGATCCCTGAAAGATCAAGGAGTCAGATTAGGAGAGAAAAGAACTTGAGATACAGTTGATCCTTAGTATTTGCAGATTCTGTCTTGGCAAACTTGCTTACTCTCTAAAACTTACTTGGTAGCCCCAGTCAATGATCATGGCATGTGTCGTATGTGGATACGCACAGAGGGGCAAAAAATCTGAGTCGCCTGCCTCACGTGCACCCAGCTGAGGTTCAGCAAGGTGGGGCGGTCTTGTTGTTTCAGCCCTCTACCGTAAACAAGTGTGCTATTGCTGTTCCCCCCAACAATCCCAGGACTATGGCGTTACTCCTCTGTGGCTACACTCTCAAACCAAGTGATACTGTTCAAAACTATTTCCGACCCTTCTCCAGCTCCTGAAACTTTGCATTGTGCCTTCGGAAACTCAGCCTGTAAAATCCTCCCTCCACATCCTCCATGTCTTTTCCTCTCTTGTCCCCACTATAACTTGGCTAACCCCAGAAGGCATTTCTTCTTTGAACTTCATTCAATGCTAGCTATGCTCTCTTTTGTTCTCCTCCTGCCTGGTTTGAAGGTGCCCTAGATTTTATCCTAAGCAGTAATTTCCATGTCTCAGTAATCTCAGTTCCAAGGATCTCACTCTTAAAACATTGCTTCCTACCTTACCAGTGAGTGTGTTCCAGACAAAAGTCCCTGGTGCCACCAGAATCTAGGGTCCTTTATAACTCCGTGTCCTAACTCTCATTTCCCCATACGTCTCTCTCCCTGCAATCCACCCCCCACACACAACCTCACCTCACATTCCTTTATCCTGTCATCTCACAGTGACACTGCCACTTTCTGGTCAATCCAACTTTCCAGTCTTTTTCACACCTGCACGGGTGGAGCTGAACAAGGCTGGGAGTGTCTAAATGCAGAGCCATTCCTGTCAAGGGGGTCCTCAGGGCTGCAGGCAACGGTCCAACACTTCCCCTCCCACCTGCTTTACGCCCTCATCTCCTACATGACTATTCTGTACCTCCTATCGCCTCCAACCTCCAATACCTCTCTTCCCCCATATCATTCTCAGCCATCGATCTCGCCACCTATTTCACAGAGAAGACAGAAATAGCCGGAGTGCTTACTGGGATAATGGATTCAGAATGCCGTTCACCTAGGACTCTGTGTACAACAAACCTATGCGAGGGAGTGACAAAAAAAGACAAATTTTAGGCCAACAAAAATTGAGAAAAATATTAAAGTACACTTAGAATAGAAAAAATAGATACAGATGAAAAACGTTGACAGCTAGATGGCACAGAAAGGAAAAAAGTAAATACATGGGTAAGTATAAACGAATACTGGGTATTTACTTTTCACTTTGCTGTAAGCCTCAAAATAATAGAAATAGGATACACTGCTTCTAAACCAGTAAAAGGGAGGAACAATTATTTCAAAATAATTCAAGAAAGAAGAAAATGAAAAAGGAATATAGTAAATAGAGGTATAAACATAAAGTACATACTAATTAATATAAATAAATCCAAGCAGATGAATAATCACAATGAAATCCACAATGAGATAATAAAAATAATGGTTTTTAGAATAGGAATAAAAATACAGTTACATTCTATTTACAAGATGTATTTTAAAAATATAAGGCCGGGGGCCTGGGTGCCTCAGTTGGTTAAGCATCTGACTCTTGGTTTCAGCTCAGGTCATGATCTCAGGGTCATGAGATCAAGCCTTGCCTTGGGTCTGGGCACGGAGCCTGCTTAAGATCCTCTCTCTCCCTTTGCCCTTCCCCCCGTGCTCTCTCTCAATACATAATTAAATAAATGGCCAAAAATGTTTTAAAACATCAAGATGAAAATTACATGATAGGCTAATACTAAACAAAGGGGAAGCTTGTTATTTAGTATCATCCAAAAAACATTGTGTAAACCAAAAGCAATGCTAGAGAAAAGAGGGTCACTATATCAAGGCTCTATTCATAAAGTGTGTAATAAATACTAAATATAACATGCACATACTTTTAATGACAAAGCTTTTATAGTAATTGAAAGATTAGGGAAACTCATATGGATACACATGTTTAAACAGAATAGGAAAACTGTCAAGTTAGAGCCAGCAGATTTTCAGAATATCTTACCCAACAAGTAGAGAATACCCACTTTTACACAACACATAGAGCATTTATAAAAATTTACCAGATACCAGTCCATATCCAGGCAGAGAGCCTTACATTTGACAAAATTAGTGCCATTCAGTTCATAGTTTCTGACTGCAATATACTGAAGATAAAAAGTGACAGCAAGAGATAAGTTAGAGAAACTCTATAAATACATGAATACACATGGTTGTATGAGAGATCACAGCGGGATTCTGAAAATACTTAGAAGGGATAATGGGAAAACTACACATTAAAATAGGAGTGACAGCTACTTCTTAACCAATTACAGAGTTGGTCTCTAATTTTCCCTCCTTCTAGGTAAGATTTATTCAGATACCCAGTCATAGAATTACCCCACTTCCTAACAACAGCTAATTTAGAGCAAAGTTGTATTATTTCCATCCCTTTTACTGTAATAAACAATAAATCCTCTCTGTTCCTGGTGGTTTTCGGGTGGTGGGCATTGACAAAAAAAAAAAAAAAAAAAGCCATATGATTAAAGGTACAAAACAGAACAAGAGCAAATTAGAGAAAATAAATAAAATAGTTTGAAGGGAATATGTAAGATCAAGAGCCAAAATTATGCAATATCAAATAAACATAAAATAGTAAGCTGAACAAAAACAGCCAAAAGTTAGTCTTTGACTTATATAAAAGGCAAACCCTGAAAAAGGAACAAAAAGAAACAAGGTACACATACTAGGGATGGAAAAATTTTGTGTGGGGGTTGGATAATTAGAGAGAGGCAGCAGAATGCATTTTGAGCAAATTTAGGTCAAAATATATGAACGTTTAAAAGGACAAATTCTTTTGCCCAAAATAGGCTTCGAAATAAACACATGACCTCAATAAAATAAGCCTATAACCATCAAATACAACTGTATACATAGCCAAAATGTTTCCACAAAGAAAACACAATAACCAGTTGGTTTTACAAATAAGTTCTAACATTCTTAGTGTTAGATCATTTCAATCTTATGCAAACTCTTCCAGAGAATATAAAAATAGAACATCCTCAATTTATTTTATGTGACAAGTAAGCTGACTTCAAAATTAGGTAAGTACAGTATGAGAAAATCACAAGTGTTGATGTCAACATCTTAACTTAAATATTAACAAACACAATCCAGCAACATATAGAAATATAATGAATCATTCCCAGGCTGGTTTTATCCTTGCAAATCAAGTCTGGTCTAATCTCAAAAGAAAAAAAAAATATTTTCACATATTTGTACTACATTAACAGATAAAGGCAAAGAAACATGTGGCTATTAAAACAAATGCCAAGAAAAGCATTGAATAAATCTCATCATGCACTGATGATAAAAGGTCATTTCTCAAACTAGGAATAGAAGGGAATACCACATAGTGAGTAGGTGAATCTATGGACACACACAGCATCCATTTGCTCAGTGGTGAAATGCAAAAGCGTTCCATTCACATCAGGAACAGTACAAGAACACTATGACTAAATCCATTTAGTATTTTATAGGAGGCCCTAACAAATGCACCAAGGACATTAAAAAGTTGTAAGAAGGAGGGAATATAATTTTCATTAATTACAAATTACAAACCCCCTATGTAAGTATTTTGAAAGAATTTACAGGTAAATTATTAAATTAGTAAGAGGATTTAGTAAGTGGGGATGCCTGGGTGGCTCAGTCGGTTAAGCGTCTGCCTTCGGCTCAGGTCATGATCCCAGGGGTCCGGGAATCGAGTCCCGCATCGGGCTCCCTGCTTCGCGGGGAGCCTGATTCTCCCTCTGCCTCTCTCTCTCTCTCTGTCTCTCATGAATAAATAAATTAAAAAAAAAAAAAAAGAGGATTTAGTAAGTTCCCCGATACAATAGAAATACACAAAAATCAATTGCATTTTCTATATACTAGCATGTTAGAATTTATAATTAAAAATAAATATCATCTGCTGCAGTAACAATATATGAAGTGTTCAGACTGAAATCTATCAAAAGATTAACAAATGTGGTATTATATAAAGGAGAAATATCATGCTCCTAGATAGGTGAATTGAAAGGTAATTCTCCAATACCGATGTTACGCATTTACAATTAACAATGTATTGTTCTTTGTTTGTTTTTTGAGGAACTGTGCAAATTAATTCTAAAATGCATATGGAGGGAAGAGAAAACAAAAAGACTTGTCTTGCCAGATTTCAGCCTAACAAAAAGACAACAGTAATTAAGACAGTGTGGTATTATCGTTGGCGTAATCAAATTTGCCAGCAGAATGAAATGGAGAGCTCAGAAATAGACTCACACAAAACATACGGACCTGATATATGGTAGAGATGGCATTGAAAGATGGTGGGAAAGAAAAGCTTATTCAATCTTTTTAGTCTAGGACAGCAGATTACTCATACAGAAAAAAAAAAAAGTAAAACCTCAGAATCAACACAATTAATGTAAAGCAGATTAAATATTTAAGTATAAAAGGTAAAATGTGTGGCAAATGGACTCTAAAATGGCCCCCATTTATTACAGCTCCTGGTACTCATGTCCCTGTGTACTCCCCTTCCTCTGGCTGTGCGTGGGACCTGTGACCTGGCTTCTAACCAAAACTGATGAGGTGTCACTTCGATGAATATGCTACACGGTTAGCACTTTTTCTACTGATTCTCTCTCATTCTGTCTTTTGTGAAGGAAACGGACATCTGGATAACCCTGTATGGTAAATGACTGAGGATGGTCTCCAGCCAACAGCCAGAAAAGAACTGAGGCTTTTAGTCCAACAACCCACAAGGAACTGATTCCTGCCAAGACCCGTGTGAGCTCGGAAGCCTGTGCTTCTCCAGGTGAGTCCCAGGTGAGAGCACCTTGCTTGCAGCTCTATGAGAGACCCTGAGCAAAGACCCAGTTAAGCCATGCCTGAATCCCTGGCCCACAGAAACTGTGAGATAGTAAATATGTTGTTCTAAGCCATTATGTTTGTGGTAATAAAAATAGAGGAGAACATTTTCTGTGCTAAGACCTTGGAGAGGATTCTTTAATACGATGCAGAAAAAGGTATATATAACAGAGAAAAAACACTCACATATTTTCTTACATTCAAATGAAGAACACTTGTGTATCAAAATACATCCCCAAAGTTATAGTACAAGGATCATGAGAATATAAACTGAAAAACTAGTCACAACACAGACAACCAAAAAAGGATTAGTATTATTAATATATGGTAAACTCCAATGAGTCAATAAGAGAAAAGAATGAACTCAATAGAAAAATGGATGGAAGACATGAGCATGGATTTTATTTCAGAAAAGAAGAAACACAAATGGAAATAGGAAAGACTACTATATGTTTGTGTTCCCACACACACCAGGTGTATGTGCTGAATGTCATTAATAATCAAAGGACTGCAAATAAAAACAAGAGTGTGACACCCTTCACTCCCATCTTTGTCTTTCGACATCCAGAAAAAAAAAGGTGACTCCTTTTCACCCCACCAGACAGGAAAATATTTAAAAGGTCTGAAAATGTCAAGTATAGGAGAAAACTTGGAGCAACAGAAACTTTCTTATAATGGCTAAAGTGTCAATTTGTACAATCTAGAAAAATACTAACTTGGCACCATCTAGAATAGTTGAGGATGTGCTTTCAGTCACACACACACACACACACACACCAGGAAGAAGTTTGGAGTGGGGGGCTGGGTGGAAATGTTCTAGGTACAAACAAAACACAGGAACAAAATTCTTACATAGGTGCATTATAGAACATATACAACTTTTACATGCAATGTTTGAATATTTCCCAAATCCAGCAAGATAAAAGATAATGTACAGCATGCTCAGATAATGGTATATTCATATAATGGGATACTACCATGTTGAAGATAAGTGATCTCCACCTACAAACAACAATATGCATTAGACACACAAAATTTTGAGTAAAGAAAAGCAAGCTGTATAAAAATATATGCAGTATGGGACTGTTTACACAATGTTTGAAACCATGCAAAAATATACATTTTGTTGACAAGGATAGACACATATGTGTAGCTATAAAGAAAAGCAAGGAAATAGTACACACAAACCCAGGATAGATGTTCCCTCACTGTTGGGAGCAGGAGGATGTGATAACAGAAGGTCAGATAGGAGGTTTAACCACTAGTATAAATTGTGGGTGACAGGTACACTCTTACTCATTTTATTAATTTCTTTTGTACCAAATATGTTTTGTACCATATTGTAGAGTATGCAAGTACATAAATTCCTACCCTTAAGTTTCAGCTCTGGCCACAGAAATTCATCAATATCATAGAGGAGGGCTTCTGACTTCTCAGATAGGGTCAACACAATTTTTCCGTGTCAACATACTACTGTAACCTATTTTGCATATCCATAATACCTACCTACAGTTTGATAAGTGGGGGAAGTAGAGTTGGCATATGCAAGAGCCAACACAAGAGTGATTTCTAATTTGCATACAACGAACCATACTTAGTAAGAGTGTAGACAGCAATACCCAAGGAAAATCAATCACAGAAATGGAATTCCTGTCTATCAGTGGTATGAACCTACTACCATTGGTCTGTGGCAGTTGGACCCAATATAGAAGGGCATTCTGTTTTGCACTCATTGCTGGAAGGCTGAGTTTCTGGCTGGAGGCTCTGCAATTTGCTCCTGGGTCCCAATATATAGCCATGGAAGCCAGAAAGCATTTTACAAAGCATCAGCTATAGGATAAGGTACTGTAGAATTTTACCTCAACCCAAAAATAGGTGTGAATGACATGTGATTTAACAGAAAAAAAAAAATACTCTACACAGATCAGATGATTGTATTTTGATGCAATCTTGTGAAGTATGGTGTTGAGGTGAACAATCATTACATATGTAATTTGGATATGCTACCTCTAATTGGCTTCCACTTACATCCTCATAGTTTGTGGAGTAAACACAACATTCACACATAGTCTTAAACACCTCAGATTTCATGTTCATTTCACAATAAATAAGTGGAGAAAATAAAAGAGAAAAAATATAATGGTTACAATATAGAAGATCACAATTATGTATCTATTGAATGAAGGTATGGGCATAAAGTTATGCTTAATGTCACACAAATGGCACTTATTGTAATATGGAACACAATTTCAATTGCATCAGCCCTAAATTAAAAATGGTCTCTATTTCAATGAACATAATATGCTCTGGAAAAAAACAAACAAACAAACGAAACAAAAAAAAAAAACACATGGCTCTGGAAATGGAAGACAAAGACATGGAAGCTGAAGTGAAAGCTGCAATAAAATTTTTTCTTGAAATATGACCATAAAGGAAACACTGCTTCCAATTAATGTATTAAATGTATAATTGTGATTGTACATGTTTGTGTGACTCAACTGATATATTAAATATTACACTAAAATAGATGCTACTTTAAATACTAAACCAAAATATAAAAGACCAGAGAATTGTAGGTGATCATCACAAAGAGGAAACAAGTACTGTTCCATTATTTTTTTTACATGAGATTTTATTTAATCCATGCATCGACTCTAGGGAAATTTTACAGAGGAAGAAATGGAGATTTAAAATTAAGAAAGTTGCCCAAAACCTCACAGCTGGTCAGTATTTACTGACCTAGGGCTTAGTGTGGTTTTTTTTTGTTTGTTTTTTTCTAATTCCAAAGCTCATGTAATATATAAAAGTGTTATATAAATGTAACATTTTAACAGAAATGACCTTCTTCAAATTAAGAAAGGAAATGGGGGAAGGTATAAACAAGGCCAGTGGAAGACCCCCCAGGGGTCGGCTTTTAGTTATTCAGAAAAAACCTTATGCCTCTTATGGTAATGGAACTCTGCCAAGTTGTTATGTGTGTATACAAGCATGTTCCTTTCTATTCATGTGTTCAACAATGGGATATTTTTGAGTTTTATAATTAGTGTTGGGTAGAAGACAAAGTCATAAATGAATGTGTGTGCAATTCAGTTTATTTTGGTAAATCTGGAGAAATCACCACAAATTTGTTGGTGCTCATAAGCTCACTGTAAGCATGCTGTGCCCTGTTAGCATTGAATTAGCCATAAGGCTCAGGTTAATGTCTGATACGAAAAGTAAAACCACCTGACTTTTATTAATTGCATTCTTTATATGCATTTATCTTTTTATGGGTATCTAATGAAAGCAATTTCATCACTTCTTGCTTGTATTACTGTGTTCTTTTACATATAAATAAATCGTCCCTTCAAAGTTTTGTGAAATATCACATTAAGGCATCAAATTAAAAAGGCTTAATATACTTAAAATAGCCATATTTTTAAATCTCATGTACTTTAAACAAATCTACAATAAAATCAATCTTTTGGAACAAAGTGAAGGAATAAATGAATATATAATTAAAACAATAAATAAATACCAGAAAAACTGGACAATATTCTTTCACTGTAGTACAATAAGGGTGTAGAGCCTTATTTGCATCATGCAATAAATAAGGTAAGAAGTGTGTTATGTATTGTGCATAGAGGGGTGCTAGATTTTAATGCAGGGATCAGGGAGTTTATATTGCTCATGTTCTAAATAAGAAAAGTACAGTGATTGGGAGCCAAACTGTTCAAAAAAAAAAAAAAAAAAAAGAATGAAGAGCATCACAGATGTCACGTGTGTGTGAAAGTTTGCTTCCTTAAACCATTAAGAACAATGTATATATCCCAAATAGAGAGGAAGACAACATACGGGAAAACATCACATATTATCAGACATTTGAAAACCTGAAACATGTAAGTAAAATTCAACGTCAACGTTACTACACTTCAAAGAAAAATTACATTTGATCTTGAGAGAGAGCAATCCTAGGGGAAAAAAAAAAAAAGATCTGCTCAAATTATAATTTATTTTTTTTCTCAAGTTTTAACAATAAGATTTCAAAGAGATTCTAAATAGTTCACAGAATAATTAACACAATTGTTATAGGAGTGATTCTCCCTGTACACCTTACTTCCTGTGTTCTATGTTCTTTCCTCCCTCCCACCCTCCCTCCCTCCCTTCTTTCCTTTTTTTCTCTTTCCCTCCCTTCCTGCTGGTATTATTTACATCTTGGAGGAAAGACCAGATTTTTTTTTTCCTAAAATGAATTCTACTTGAATATATTTGTTAGTCACAGATTTGACACGAGTAGGCACTTCCATTTGGTGTAGACTTCTTTGAGCTAGAAACATTGTGAAATGCAAATGTGTTTCTCTCTAGTCCTCACTAGACTGTCCGCTCCATAGATTTTTGTTCCCTGCTGCATCCCCCAGTATTGACAGCTCTGCCTGGCACTGCGGGTCTGGAGACACTCAGAGAGGAGGGACAGGGAAAGATGCTATTGGTCAGCTGGACTCTGGATGAAAAACATGGTGTTGTCTTTCTGTCATTACTAGCAATGATCCGTACGCACAGCAGTCAGACCATACTCACATATTCTTTTCTCTTCAGAGCATCTCTTGATATTCACCTACAACCAAATTTCTTTGCTGTGAATAGTGTTATTAGGGTAGTTGAGTGAGTGGGAATGGGGAGAGAGCAAGTGTTGGTTTTGTTCTATTTGCACTACCCTTTTGGAAAAGCTACTCATTAATGGGATGTCCCATGACAACTAGAGCCAAAACCTAATTAAGAAAAAATAGGTGGTGATCTCCATCCAAGTTTACCAAGCATAACTTCCTCTAACTCAATATATGACTCTCTTTCCTCACAACGACCATTTCAGAAATAAACCATGTCTACTGCAAAAGAGACAACAATTTTCGGTGTCTTTCCTCGGGTGATAATCACTAACTGCCATGCCTCCCCTTCTCCGCTTCTTGATGAATTCCTATTAGCTTTGAAGTCGGGAAAGACTGCCAATTCCTCACACAGCAGGGCCAGTCAACTGATTTTTCTGTTCTTCCCTCACACTAGTCAGTATCTCAATAGTAGATACCCAAAAAGTATAGCGAATACATGAACTGATGAACTGTAAATCCATTAAAAATTCCCTTACAAAAATGCACTTCCTAGAGAGATAATAGGGCTTTCAAATTTATTTGTAAAATAAGTACCGTATAGAGTTGTTGTGAGGATTGTAACGAGACATAGAAAAACCTTACAGTTCGATGCATGGCACATCAGAGACTAATTCACTATATATGCTTCTCTTTTTTTAAAAAAAGTCTTCACTGTGCCAATCCTGCACACCGAACTTAGAACATCTCACGTAACCTTCTTCATGAGTAATGCATCAGGCAGCACAGAGATCTTGCCAATGGCCGCAGGGGCAGATGTAGAGGACAGGTGCATAGTACAGGGATGCTCTTGCCATTTCGTAAGTGGGATAATGTGTGCAGAAGACGGAAATGAGTCCAAGTCAGAGACAGACCTGGGATTAAGTCAGGCAAGAAGAGGCTAGCTCATCACTTAATGGAGCAAGTTTTGTGGCTGGAATCCTGAGGCTGAATGTCAGTATTCAGTGTGCTCCCCATTTCAAGTCCCTGCCTTCTCGGCTCTACATAAAATCCTCCCAGTTACCCAAAGATCTAAAGAGAGCTAGTATGAAATTATCCCAACCAAAGCCAAGTTGCTTTTAGCTTATTTATTTATTAATGGTGGAGTTTTGTTATACATATAGTGCCAGGGTAAGCTAGTTTATGACCTTCAGTCTATCTTTTCTTCACTGAATAACTGGGTAAGTGTGAAAGAAAAACCAAACAAAAACAAAAATGAAATTCTCTACGGTTTGGAAGCATTAGCTGAACCTATCTCTGGAAACAGAATTAAATATGTATACGTTACGTGGACTAAATATAACACAAGCTCATGTAAATTATAGCTCAAGCATCTACAAGTTAATTACAGAATATTAGAATCTATTGTTTGAAGTTCCTATCATCCTTTGTGCAAAAATTCAGTCATTTAGTTCTTAGATTATTATTTGAATTTTCCTGACAACATGAAGGAATGACACTAGTGAGATAATGAAAGAAATTGCCTTAGCAGACATTTTTATATGTATTAGACATGCTTTAGCTAACATTTAAATAAGCAGTAAATGGCCCACATATTAAATTCCTTGACATATCCTGTATTAGGCATCCTTATCTCTGGAAATGGTATTTATGTATTGCCTTCTATTTACATTTTTCCTAAATTAATCAGTGAATATTTTTCTAATTATCATCAGTTAATCAAGCCAATCAAACGTAGTGATTTAAATCCATTGCTAATGTCTACTCACAGATAATTGGATATCCTTTACATAACAAGAATGGCTGGGATCTTCAAGGATGCACCCAAAAGTACCGATAAACAACGTTAATCAAAAGTAAGTGGCAGAGGGGTAACATTTCCACAAAAGGAAAAGTCTTCAGGATGCCCTAGTGTGGGTGGAGGGGTGCTGCTTCTTTGAATGCATTGCTGAAGGTTTTGTGGCAAGTCCTCTGATATTGCCTGGGAGTTTAACATCCCGTTCTTGTCAGGCATTTACTAATTCTTCTCTGTTGATTTAAAAAGACAGCCAATCAAATGTCTAATATTTGGGGTCTAGATCTAATATGTATGTTTTATTTATTTATAGGCCTTTATTCACAGGTGCTTTCCTAATATGTACATTTTCTTGTCATTTGCTTAAAACTTGTGCCTTTCTAGGTTTCTATCAATTAAATTTAAGCATACTCATAAATTCATCTTGCTTTTCCTGAAGAGAGTCTTCCACTTCCTAACCTCTCCAGAATTTCATTAAACTCAATTCTGGATATGGCCTTATTTTTTCATCCTAAGTGAGTAATTTGCATTATTTCAAACTTTTGAGAACCATATTATTAACCATTGCATTTGTTACCCTTGTCAGCAAAACTGTCTTCTTTTAATTTCAAGTCCTAAATTCTATTATTTTAGTAACAGTTTTTATCCCAATTAGGCCTAAGTTTGGGGAAGTTAATAAAGAAAGGGGTTAATTTTACAGAGAGGACAGGTGTTTCCTTTAGAAGTGTCACATAGTACCAATCATCCCTTTAATGATTTTCAAGATGACAAGAATAAAATTAAGTGTGGAGGCTACTGGAATTTTTCTGAAGCTAACACCCTAGGGATGCAGGACCTGGATGTTCTGGGAGCTAGTCACCTCAGGTATTATGATTATAAGGCAAGGGGTCCCAAGCATGAACATCTGCGTGCAGATCCAACGGCTGGGTCATCCTTCACCCATAATGTTCCTCACAGGGGAATCTGCAGATAGAGGTCTCTTCCAGCAGACTTTCCCTTGGGGTGGGGGGAGGTGAGTACAGTGCCAGGGAAATTCATCTTGGCATTGCTGTGTGGGGGTGAAAGTTAGGATACACTGTGGAGATCACTTTGGTAAATGTGTCCCTTTCTTCAGCTATCAGTAACATGTCCCCATGCTCATTCACACAACTGCTTTTTTTCGTTTTCCCCACCTCCCCTCCGATTCCTCCACATAGTCCACCTGGTTCTCTCCTTCCCCTTGGGGGTGTTTCTGCAATATTAACAGGCAGTGGTTCGGCTTCTGCACACATGTGTAAGTCTTACCTTGATCAGACCTGCTATTACTGCCAACCCAAAGGCTTTTGATTTGATCTGATTTGAGATCACACATCCTGGGAATTGAAAGCAAACCCTGAGACTATGACCAGTAATGGGAAGAGTGTTATCATCCATGCAGCAATTTTACATGCTTGTTGATAACCCTGAGATAGGCAGAATAACCTTCCTTGAGAATACCTGTGTAGACTCAGGTCTTCAGCTGCCCTCTCAACCTACACTGATACAATACGATTTTTCATTCATTTTTGACTTTGCAGAGAGAAAGCAGGGAGAGCGGAGAGAAGGAAGTAAAGCTGGGGGAGGAGGAGCGGTCTGCATTCACACTATAATGGAAGAAAAATGACAGCCAAGTTAGGTTTAGCTGGAATGGAACATATCCACAGCCTTATCACTCTGGAGGCACATTTTGACATAATAACAAACTACTGAGAAAGAACCACTTTTATCTAGGTCAGAAGGACAGACTCCCAAGTGTTGGAGAGCTTGGGGAAACGACAGTCTGAAACGTCGGGAAGACGGCAATCTGTACAGAGATTTTCATCAGGTCTCAACCCCGCCTAATGGTTTTTGTCCAGTGCGCGGTAATTACTCCTCCGGCTTATAACGGCATCTAACGGCGTGGCATTTTGATTTCAGAGCCTACCAAAATAAAATGAACCAGATTTTATGACGACTACATTTATAATAAGATGCAGATGGTGAAAGAAACAGATGCCTCTGACGTCATCTCCCATTTGCCTGTAACTTTTGCAGACACTGGCGGTCTGCAAACTCATTCAAAGAGACGCAGGATCAGCTGGGCAGGTTTCCAGTTCTGTTTCCAGGCTCAAAAAACACTAGCAGCGGTGGTACTGCTTTCTCTGAGTCATACGGTGAGGATTCCACAAAAAGAAATTCGATTCTAAGTGCGATTCTTTAATGCAAAATTAATCATCAGGGAAAAAAAAAATCCCCACAAATGTCGGGACTCTTCAGCACTCAGTACTAATGGGTTGTTTTGCATAACAGTGACAGAAAGGACAGGGCGTGAGGGGTGGGAACAGCTGTAGCTTCGAGGAGGAGGGAGGGAGAGAGGGAGAGAGGAAGAGAGAGAGAGAGAGAGAAAAGAGAGTTAACAGACAAGCAAGTCTAAAATACTCTCCCAGCCCTTGGCACCCAGATTGTTCAAAGACTGACTCCTTGTTCCTTCCAAGTAAAAAAACTTTAAGGAGGCTTTTCAGGCCACTGTCTCGGACCTCAAAAAAATGTTCATTCTGTATTTCCATCTGTATTTTCCAGAAAGAATTCTATAGTTCTGATAGGAGCTTTCACCATTTCCCCAGTGATATCACTGAACATTATACACAGGAGGAAAAAAACAAAACACCAAAAAAACCTTTTTTTTTTTTTTTTTTTTTTTTGGTGCAAGATAAATGTGTTAGAAGATCTTTTAAAAAAGATAACGAACTTTTGTAGTCCATCTTGAAAGCAAGAGATGCTTGGGCAGAGCAGCAATTGAAAGGCCTTTAGCAGTGTTTGAGGTTCCAAGATAGATCAGCACAGTTACAGACGAGGAGACGGCCAGACAAAAACCTGTAAAATCTTACCTCCCCTGACCTCCATCCTATAACTTCATCTACGCCTCTGTAGCCGGAACATTTCAGCAGAAAAAAAAAAAAAATTCAGAAACAAAGGCAAGGGAAGTAGCGATGTAAAAATAAATCCTGCTAGGCCAAATACGGGGCCTATTTTTAAAATAATCTCTGTGCAAGTAACAAACCGAACACGCGCGCACACGCACACACACACAGTACAAGAATAAACAAACTCGTCACATCCACAAGCCGGGTTGCAAAGGATTAGTGCAAATTTCTGCTGACCTGCAGCATTTAGTCCATGAACTTTGGATATCCTAGACGCTCCATCAGTGTCCAGCAGATGTTCTCAATCAGTTTAATTTCATCTCTAGGCAAGTTCTGTTTCCAAACGTTAGTATTACTTGGTGATATTTCCCCCTCATAGGGAAGATAGAAAAGGTTCGTGGAGGTGGCGAACAGTATTTGGTTTAAACTAGCAGGAGACAAAGGTATTCCAAGAAAGGCAAAAATCCTTTCAGCGGTTTTCTGAGGAAAACGTACGATGTCTTCAAACTTGATCAGCTGGTAGCTGGTAGGCAGCAAGTCTGTGTTTATTCTCAGGGCCGCTGCGGTGTTTGCGAGCCACAGATGGGACAACAGGGAGACTGCACTGGACGTGGGTTTCGATAATTCTTTCCTCAACGATTCATACTCGAAAGCATAGCCTGAATTTAAGTTACATCTGCCTTTACCTCCCTCTATTTTAAACAATCTAGCTAAGTGCTCTGGTACATTTTTCAAAGAGTAGAGACTTGGTTTACTACTGTACAGCATTGAATAAATCCATGCCCGAGGGTCCCTTACTATGTACAATGCCCTCATAGAAGCTCCTAAAACTTCTTGGAAAAAATGAAGCTTTAAGGTCCAGCTCCCGCTGCTTAAGCTGAGCACGGGACGCGCGCTTGGGTAATAGACCAGGTGTCTCCTCAAAGCCCTAATATATTCAGCATCTCTATCAAAGGTGCCTTTCATCCTACTTCTTTGTTCTGGCAAAGACTCTCTCCTTTTCAATTTTCTTTTTTTGTCCTTATTTGCTGTAAAATATGGGGCCAGTTTACCCCTACTGGGTTCATGCAGATGGATGTTTTGCAAATGTAGTTTCGTGTCTTGAACTAAGGACTGCAACCAGCCTCGGAGTAAACGGAAATGCACACTGTGGATATCTGATGCCTTCCATTCACAGGCATCTGCAAATGAGTCAATTTCAAATTCAGTTTCAGGAATATTGATGTAGGTTGTAGGAACTCTGATGTAGAGAAAATCACTACTGTTGAAAAAAAGCTGTTTGAGAATTTCAGCTCCTGAACCAGGAAGTGAGGTAACGACGACATCGGGAAGATCGAGGTGGTGCCCTTCGGAAGACAAAGACTTCGGGCTTGCCTCGGCCTCCGTCCTTGCCCATTTTGCACAGAGGGGCTGAGTGCAGGCGCTCCACACATCCAGCAGCTCAATAAACCACAAGGCAATAACAAGGATTAGGATCCACCGCATTAGCTTTCTAAAAGAAAGGTAAAACCGCCACTGAAAGGTTAAAATCACCAAGCTAATGCACAAAATCAACCCAACTGCTATATTAAACTTAAACCCAAAAGGGAAAATAACCCTTTCTTGTCTTATGGGCTTTGCTATTGTTTGAGTGCCCAAACCAAATCGGGTTATTTGGCCCTGATCAGCCACACTGGCAAAGCCACCAAAACCCAGGTAATCAAATCTCGTCTTCAGGTTATGGTAGTCAGTTACAATGGACACAACATGTTCAGTATTATTGACATTGAGAGAAATCTGAAGTCCAGAGTTGGAATTATCAATAAATCTGCAGCTGGAAACATTGACATACGGCCCATAAAAGACATACGCAATTCTTGTGATTGCGGATTCCATCTGAAATGTAACATTAACAAATTGAGTCCACCGTTTCTTAAATTCAGCAGCTTGCTCTGCTTCCTGTATGCTAGCAATGGGACTATTGCCACGATGATCAAACCAGAACATTCTGTAGTGTGCATCCCACACATCCATCATGGCGCCATTGTACCTGTTCATAAACCTGTAAGGGATGTACTTGAAGTCAATGTCCAGATTATGAAAGAAGGCACTGACAGATTTTATTGGGGAATTGTCCTGCTTCTCAACGTGATCAACAACTAGCAAAGTCTGGGAATTTAAGAGAAGCAAAGCACGATACACACTCTTCAGCTTCATTGCTGACGAGTAAGCAGACACTGCTTCCCCACTCACAAATATCATTTCTCCATGCTGAGAGGCAGTGACGATTTCCCCCGCCGCGTCCCCGGCCTCCTCGCCGCTCCACTTGAGCCACTGTGCACATTCTCCCAGTTGACCTTCCCAGGGCTCGTTACACTGGCTTGTGGGGGACGGAGCAAACACCAGTACGTTGTTAAGGTGGCTCAGCTTGGGTCCATAGAGAGCTTCAGAAACAAACACTTGCCCATTGGGGGCAAAAGTAAAGGAGTTCTGATCTGGATGTTCATGTCCTGGGTTAAAGCTTCTCCACCCATCAATCCAGGAGTATGGCTGAAAGTGAACTATGTCATACACCGCTCGCCCCCCTAGCTTCCCAGACTTAAAAGACACAAAGGTATTGCTCTGTGTATTTGGCAACCCAGCCCCATAGGTGACAACACCCCAGTTAGGGAATGTGTGCATTTTTGCAGTGCCATATTCAGCAGGAGGCTGTGGGGTGAGCTGGGGATCATACCAGATGAACTCGGTGTGGAGAGTACTCCACCTCTGGGCAGTGGAGGGGACCATTGGTCCATCTTTAGGTCGGTGCCTTCTAATTTGCTGAGCTAACCAATTCCCAGCTCCATTCTTTAAGATAAACTTATCCAAAAAAACTAACTGGCTCTCTGGACCATAAAACCAATTATAATTGGAATCTGCTATACCCACAGTTCTTTGGAAGCCTGGTAAAAGGGTGGCGTAATAGAACCAAAAGTGCATTTTTAACCAGTTATTATCCAAGTTGTTGATATTAAAATGACGCTGGGCTAGAAAAACATACTGTGTGACTGATTTAGCTGTGTAGCTTCCGTAGGCCACACCTTCGTCCAAAGAACCATCGACAACGTGATTCAACAGAAACATCGTCTTTTCCATCACATCTACTACAACCTGTTTCCATACATTTGCTTTAGATCCTTTATCTACCCCAGTCACCAAAGCCCCCGTGAGTAATGCTATCATGTTAGTAGCTTGGTGATTATGGAGAAGTTGTTTGCCCCACGAACGGACCTTGGAATACTCATACATTTCCTCAGTAACAGCCCATATTTTTTCCAGGTATTTAGGTCTCCGATGATCATCTAGTAAGTTATACAAAAAGTCAAAGGCAGTGGCAAAACCCGTTAAGGAATGGCCAACTGGAACCTCATCCCCTGGTGCGTTCTCAACCAGCCAGTCTTTGTAGCCAACCATCCTGTCCATATATTCCAAGACAAACTCAAAGGCAACTTTGTCTTCTGGACATAACAAACAGTACAATGCTAAAGGAGGCAGATTGTTACCATAAATTTCATTCCACTTGGCAGCAAAATCAGCATGCTTGGGTGGAGGTAGGTAGTATGTGGGGTTGGACAGCATAGCTGTTACTGCACTTCTGATAGTTCTAAACAGATGCAAATGGCTTGTACGAGACTTTTGTCTCATTGCCTGGATTTCTCCAGCATCAAAATATAAACTTGGATGAAGCATACTTTTCTTCAGCTTTTGATTGGGTTTGAAATCTTGCACTTTCTGTGTCTTAAACTGATCTATATCATCTGTGAAAACTGCCCAGTCAGAGTAATTGCTCACAGATTCCTCAAAAGTGGAGAAAGCAAACATCACTAATGCTAAAAATAAGAAATGTCCCGTAAACATTAACGCCATGATCCATCGGGGAGTTCCCTTCCTTAGGCATACATGTCAAACACAGTGCTCAATGTATTTCCCATCTGCCTAGGATAAAACACATTTAAGGCCTTGATAACACAAAGACTGCAAATCATATACGCTGTGAAATCCAGCTGACATTCAGTTCATTCAAAGCAAGGTGGGTTGCCAAAAAGAGGAAATTTACACTATCTGTGTCCCTGACACAGATTTGCTTCCAATAAAACTTCAAGGAATGTTAAAACCTCTAATGTTTCCATATCACAGAGCAAACAGTGGTAGAGTCAAACATACTATGAATTCAGGCTTTACCTCCTTTACATAAATCTATCTAACGTGAAGAGTCAAACCACACGTTGTAAAAAAAAAAAAAAAGAAAGAAAAAGAAGCACTCCGAAATCCAAATTAAAAAGTCGTTCCTAGGATAGGAAACCATCACCCACGTGTAAGATGTCTGTGCTTGTGTCTGCCCAAAGGAGCTGATGATGTACTGAAATTCTTGAAGCTGAAATTCTTGGTTGTTATTCCCTTCCACTTTTTACACCTTTGCCTTGAAAATTTTTTCTTCTTCCATTTTTGGGAAAAGAACATCCTCAACAAGTGTTCAAAGTCCTACTTGGTTTTAAAAAATCAAAAGCTCTGCCCTCATTTCAAATCTGTCTTGTTCAGGCTTACTTACTCATCGCCCATTATGACCCACAGAAAGCATTTTCATGTCTTCTTTTATCAGCTTCATCTGTACAACTATAAAAATCTAATCTCTTCAGCCACCTAGGTACTTCGTTTCCAATCATGAAGTAACCACCAACTGGGAAAGAAAACTCCCCTCTGACCAAGAGGGCCGGTTCTTTTCTGTTCCTTTTTCATGACACTCCTTTCTGGAGGAGAAACAAAAAGAAATTCTCTGAGGCTACAGATATGCTGGGAGTGGACATGAACTGATGACTTAAAGGTTCTACAATCTCTTGACAGAAATTTTAGAATCACGATAAAATCTGTAACTGAATACAATCTAAGTTAGCTCAAGTGATTCTTTTTTTTTCTTACACTTTTAAACGCATACAGTGAGTGGTGGCAGATGACAAGTAGCTACAAGATGCAACTTTCCTGCAGCCTTTATTTTAACTGTGGCTTGCTTGACTCATTTAACCTGTTTTTATTCAAGTGCGCTTAACACAAAGATGAGTCCTGCTATCATTCTTGTTGGTTTGGTCGCCAAGGACTCAGGGACAAAAAGCAGAAGTTGAAAGGACCTTTTCTGATGCCGGTTGAGGGATTACCTCTTATGGGATCAAAAGACGCCTTTGTAGGGGAAACTACTGAGACCATCACGTTTCTCAAAGGAGAAAGCATGAGAATGCGTGGGAGCAAGCAAAGGCGCCCCAACCTCACCTGGAGCCCCGTCCTCCATCCTTACGAGAGGCCACCAGAGGGAGCTCAGACCCAGACTAAGGTGCAGCGTCGCCCCTGCCCGTCTTCGGGTTTGAAGAACCTAACCAAGTTTCGGTCTTGGACAAGTCTCCTCTGCGTAGGAAACATTAACGCTGGAGTTTCCTGAACCGCCCCGCCTGCTGCACTTTTTCGTTCGCTCCCTACGAACGCGCCGCCCCCATCCTCCGCTCCCCACCCTCGACCCCTGGCTCAGGTTTGGGGACAAGAGACCCCTAAACGGCCAAGTCCGCTTACCTTCCGCAGATGCAGACGGGGTCTCCCGACAGCGCCGGGCCCAATGAGGAGGAGGTGGAGAGTTCGAGAAAACCGCTCCGCACACGGAGCCGGGCCGCGCCGTCCCCCGCAGGGCTCCCCGCGCCCCGGGCACGGCACCCCCCGCGCTCCAACAGGCTGCGGCCCCGCGCTGGTCCCCCGCCCCGCGCCGCGAGGACACGCCCGCCCTCGGGGAACGCCGGACGCTCCGGGCAGTCCCGCACCCCGGGAGGCAGATCCGCGCGCAGAGGGCGCTCTCGCGGGCGCCGAGTCCGGCGGAGCGCCGGCGCCCCAGGCTGCGATGCCGCCGCGGCCGCCGCTCCTCCCCGCCAGCTCCGGCCGCGCGGCCCGGGGAGCGCGAGAGACAGCGACGCGGGCCGGGGGCGGGGCGGGAGCGGGATGGGGGCGGGGCCGGGGCGGGGCCTCAGGCCCGGGAAGGGCGTGGGAGGGGAAACGGAAGCGGTGGGCGGGGCGGGAGCAAGACGGAGGCAGAGGCAGGGGCGGGCCCTCGGGACCGCAGGGCAGGGCGAGAGACCGTGACGTAAGCCGAAGGCGGGGCGGGAGCGAGATGGGGCGGGGCCGGGGCGGGGCCTCAGGCCCGGGAAGGGCGTGGGAGGGGGAAACGGAAGCGGTGGGCGGGGCGGGAGCAAGACGGAGGCAGAGGCAGGGGCGGGCCCTCAGGACCGCAGGGCAGGGCGAGAGACCGTGACGTAAGCCGAAGGCGGGGCGGGAGCGAGATGGGGGCGGGGCCTTAGGGCCGAGGGGTTGTAGGGGGAGACAGATGGCGATTTAGGAAGCGGGGCGGGAGGGCGGGGCGAGAACAAGGCTGGGGCGGGGCCAGGGTCCGGGCCGAGCGCCCACCCATCCCCGGATCCGAAAGCCGGTCGGTGGGTGTCTCTGGGCGCTTGAGTTCCGGGCTGCGGTGGGGAATGCGAGCCGGAGGAGGGGGAAATTTGTAAGTGCAATTGTCTGAAGACCTCGCAGTGCTGCCTGGGTCCTGCTGCTATTTACCCTTTGGTTATGGGGGCGGACTGGTGGGCTGGGGTCGGGAGGGAGCCCAGAGTTTCTGGGCGTGATTACAGATGCTAGGAGAAGTGGGGACAGGCGGGATAACGCTGTAGGATGTCAGGAATTACCCTTGGGCAGAGCAATGGGTGAGGAGAGAAGGTATGAGAGGCAGCTTGGCTGAGGTTGCTGTCATTTGGGAAGGCGAAATCAATATAGCGGGTTAATATGAGAATGGCTTCAGGAGCACGGATGCTGAAGATCAGAGGAAAACAAAAAGGCTAATCAGTTTTATTGATTGAAATAATTCATCCAGCAGTATAAATATGAGACGGAGTGGGACAAACAAGGGGAAGGAATCTCTTTCTCGTTAAAGAAATGAAAACCGAAGTTCAGTAAAGACCCACAGACAGAGGACAGTGTGCCTCTCTTTTACTATGACACCTGTGTGCAATTCCAGGCTTCAGATGTGCTAGAGCAGCTGTGAATCCTGATGTATTCTACGTATGGAATTTCTCACAGATACCTGAAATTACGCTTCCGCGTGAGCCAACACAGGGTCTGACCTCAACTATCACAGTAACTTAGTAATCATAGGAATCCAGTGGAACATCAAGCCTCACAAATGAACAAGCCCATCTCCAGTTGGGGATTGGTAATACCTTCCTTTCCCTCCAACTCCATTCCGTTTTGGTAAAACGGTCAGATTCGTCCATTAAAAAACGAGTGCCTTGCTTGGACCACTTCTTGGTAGGACTAAATGGTAGACCATTACTAGTGGAATAAATTTCACGTAATTTATCTTGGAGAAGAAATGTGGCTTTTACCTCATTACTCTTCTGCTTTGTCCTCTTGGGAACCCTACCCCCGTCCAAATGGCCAAACTTGCTTTTGCTTTGGCATCCCCAAAACTATGCTTACCTCATTCTTTTCCCTGTGGTGTCCTCTGCCCAGCTAACGCCAGGTCTTTTATCATCCTGGTCTCAGCTCAGATGCTTAAATTTCTCTGTAAATACCTCTTAGGTTTCCCTCTTAGAATGAATTACTCCAGCACTCTATGATTTATATCTATATTCAGTCCTTAGATCATTTGTTTTGTCCTTAATATTTCACCTGACTCCTGTGCTCTATTCAAAGTTCCTTCAAGTCATTAGCAGTCTCTCAGTCCCTTCTGTAAGCACTGCAACGGTGTTTGAAATGATTTGGACCTTTGGCAGTTGGGCTCCCATAGAGCATCGCCTCTGCCACTGAGGTCCACTCTCAAACAAGGGTTCTCCTCTGAACTCCAAGGACAGAAATTCCTGCAAATGTCTGGATTGTTCCCTATGTGACCCAGCGTGGGTTCCAACCTCATTAGAGTTGGGGGAAAGAGGAGCCCAAATGCAGAGATTCCTGTAATTTTTTCCTAAAGGGAACTTTGGAAACTGTCAAGGAATTAGTGTTAGTAAACATAGTGGGTAAATATACAGACCATTTCTCAGAACAAAATATATGGACCGGGATTCTTTCATTCTGTGGATCCAAAGTTCCTCATGATGCCAGGGCAAAGTGAATCATGGAGAATTATTATGAGCTCTAACATCGGCTAGGCAAATATTTCAACTTCTATCTGATTTTTTTCAGGTTTATTCACATCAGTATGATCTTTTTCATTTTGTAAATGAATGGTACAGATATTGGGGCCTTTCAGTTTTACCCCACACATCTGCACTGAAGCAGGATGCACCTAACTTCTCAGTATTTTCAGATGAGCTTTCAGGCTAATTCACTTTGAACAGGCATCATCTCCCAGTTGTGAGTGTGTTGAGATAAATAAGAACTATAGCTAAACAATTCAAATCATTGGCAGAAAGGGTGGTAGGTAAATGGTACTATGAAAAATAAATAGAGTCTTGTTTCCTGTGAACTAAAAATGGATAGCTCCTATTATTGCTTCTTCCACACATGAAGATGGTACAAAGTTAGTTAATTTTAAATAATGCATCCAACCATAGGAGAGATGAGCTGTATGTTATGTTATTGCACATTAAAAAACTTTATGAGTGTGGCAAGAGACACATACGCCAACAGCTGCTAAATTCAGAATCCTGGAGCAGTATCTTATTTTAATATAAGTGGAGAACAGTACAGTCTATCACTCTGGGAATTTCCCACTATATAAAAGGTTCTTAAATCTACATGAGCTTTTGCTCATAATTTCAAAGAATTTATGAAAATTTGTTTTCTTTATTTAAATGTCTTCCAGCCCTACCCCCAGCCACCCTACTTACAACAGAGATGATGCTTTCTGGACTAGATTCCCCAAGGCAGGAGCCTGCCTGGCTGCCTGCCTTCTTTCCTTCCTCCCTTCCTTCCTTCCTTCCTTCTTTTCCTTCTTTTTTTTTTTTTTTTTTAATTCCCATCACCTAACCCAGAGCCCAGCACTTTGTCTTGAGTGTGTGTTGAATGTGGAACATGAATTATCACCTTCATTTTATGGCAGAAGAGGAAAAAGTCATAAATGTCTAAAGTGGGTTGCTGCGTTCTGAACAGAATCAGAAACTCTTTCTCTTTTTCTCCAACTGTGCTGAGAAGCTTGTTACCACACAATCAGTAGTTGGAGCTTTCTTGGGGTGACTTAATTCAAATGAAAACTAAGACTGGGAAGTTGGCCAACATTTTAAGGAGAATTTCTGCAAGAATTTTATGTCTTAAGACAGGTAAATTCCAAGTGCTGAGCCTTAGAACGTAAGGTAAATACTACATTGCCTTACAGGAAGATAAAATACAAGCAGTAAAACAAACCAAGACACACTACATAAAGTCCCTTGACTGAAATCTTATTTGTCCATGATCTATTATTCTGGTGGACTCTGAATGATTGGGGCTAAGATATGCAAGAAGCAATTGCTGTGCGTTCAGCAACTAACCACACGCAGATCCCCAATGCACTGGCTTGCTTGCAAAACAAGCATTTAAATCCGGGATGACTTTGTTATTCTTCTTTAGCACAGCCCTTCCTTGAGATGGTTTGGGCTGTGAGAGCTCAGATGCAGATTTCTTGAACACTTACCAAGGCCAGATGTATATTATATTGATCCATGAGCATTGTTAGAACTGGTGTTTTCCCCAGAGTTCGGAGAGGTAGCAGCTGTGAATGTGCAGAAACCGACACCAAACTTAAGCTGCAAATTTTATTGCATGATTAGCCAGCAGTAATAGGCCACACCAATAATAAAGACAAAACCACAGATTTAAAGCAGTCCGTAGAATCCAGAAACACTCTTTCTGCAATTGCTGTGAATACAAAACATCTCAAAATGACAGGGAACTAGCCTGCAGAGTTGCTAATGAAGATGTGGCTGTGTGTGCCCTGAGTTTGTTTATCCGGTGGTGCAAGAGTCTGTATGACAGCAACTGGATTTATAAAAAATTAAAAATACCACAGCCAAATTCTGAGGAAAGAAGTTTCCCCCATAAGTCCATTAAAACCCTGGACTGGTAAATGGGAGGCTTCCTTGCTCCCACATCTGCGTACATACAGTTTTGCTTTTACTGTGAAAGAAAATTTTAGGCAAAGTGAAACTTACAAGGGGAGCCCATGATGGGGCTGTTTCCCTCTCCCCTCCCCCCACCTCTCCTAGACCCATGGTTCTCAGCCTGGGGCAAATCTGACAATGGCTGGAGAAATTTTTGATTGTCACTGCTGGGGGATGAAGGACTGTTGTCATCCAGCGGGGAGAGGCCAGGGATGCTGTTAGACATCCTACCATGCACAGCCCTGCCCCTGACCCCAAATAAAGCCCTCTCCAGCACAAGATGTTGATACTGCTGAGTTTGAGAAACCTCACCCTGGTCCACTGACTTGAAAAAGTATGTGCATATTATTGGTAGTTGTTCAAATCAAGTCTTAAGTTATACCCCAGACTTTCTATCACCTCTTGGCAGTTAGTTCCAGAGCTAGCTCTTAGCCCGTTGGTTAACACATGCCTTTCTATTTACCAGATACTGGGTCTGTTTCTCTTTGCTTGACCCAAGACTCCCGTAAGCCCAGCTATCTCACCTCAAATAAGATCCTGGGCTGGTGTTCCAGACATAAGTGTTAGTAAGTCAGTAAGTTCCCCCAAATAATAAGGGGAAGATGTGGCTTTAGGGCTGTGAGAAACACCCTTCTGATTTTTTTTTTTTTGATGTTAAAAAATCATATCCCGTCACACACCCAGGCCCATACGTACGCGTACATGCACACCCCCAAGCACATTTATTATTATCTGAAATGTTTCCTCTAGGACAGTGCTTTCAAATTAAAACTCTTAAACCCCTATAGATCAGAAAGACCAGGGTGTTGTTTAAAATGCCAG